TAGTGCCTCACTCTTAAATGTGATGGCGCAGCCATTTGAGGAAAGGCTCTACAGTGAAAGTTATGGAAGAAAACAAACAGAAGATAGGAATGATGAGTAAGAAAATAATACAAGGAGAAGAACAATTTTTAAAATCTATAAATAGTCTCACAGATGAGTGAAAATGTTAATATAATGACAGAAGAAAGTAGAGAGAAAACTCAAAGAGAGAGATGGAAAATGGGAGAGAAAAAAACAAGAAAATTAGAGGATCAATACAGGAGATTTAACATTCTGTTATAGAGGCCCCAGAGACAGTAAGAAAAATGAAGAGTATTTTTTCTAAGATATAATGTGAGAAAAGTTCTCAGCAATAAAGGACATGAGTTTCCAGATTAAATGGAACCACCAAGTTCCCAGCACAATAGATGAAAACAGGTCCACAGCAAGGTACATCACTGCAATTTCAGGATACCAGGAAAGACCATCAAAGGATGGTTACAATAAATAAATCACAGGAATCAGAATGCCTGAGACTTCTTAGTTGCAACAGGAAAGCTAGAAGTTAGTGGAGAAACATCTTCAAAGTTTTGAAGAGAGAGTGATTTCCAACCTAGAGTTCTATACCCAGTCAAACTATCAAAAGAAGAATAAAGAAGCTGTGTTTGGTGACTCACGCTTGTAATTCCAGCACTTTGGGAAGCTGAGGCAGGCAAATCACTTGAGGTCAGGAGTTCAAGACCAGCCTGGCCAACATGGTAAAACCCTATCTCTACTAAAAAATACAAAAATTAGCCTGCCGTGGTGTTGTGTATCTGTAGCCATGCCAATTCAGGAGGCTAAGGCAGGAGAATCACTTGAGCCCAGGAGGTGGAGTGTGCAGTGAGCCGAGATGGTGCCACTGTACTCCAAGCTGGACAACAGAGCAAGACTGTCTCAAAAAAAGAAGAAAGTTATTTTTAGTCATGCTAGGTCTAAAAATGTTGCCTCTGACACAGTACTTTCTCAAGAAAATTACCAGCACACGTTTCACCAAAATGAAGGAATAAAATCAAGAATGAGAAAGATGTGAAACACAAGAACACTTATGTGACAAAAAGTTGTATACGAAAGAAAAGGTAATCTACTATCTGTGTCAGCATGCTCATTAAAATGTAAACATTAACTTCTGATTTAATATAAAAATTTTTTAAAGATACAGGAAGAATGGGAGATGGAAAATATGTGATTGGGAGAATGTTATTTTGTGTATTTCAGAGTGGGGATGGTTAGAGGTGGTAAAAGACCAAAAACTTAAGATACAACAACATGAATAGATTATTCAAAAATACGAAGGGAAACACAGCTGCTAAAAACCTGAAAGTAGCTGGGCAACTTGGAAATTGCTCATTTTCATCAACAACTATGTGGTACTACATGATTTTTTAAGCCATTAATATGCATTACTTTCATAAGAATAAAAATACCACTAAATAAGTATATCATTAAAAAGGATGAAGCAGGTAGATAGGAACACTTTTTAGAATACATTAAACAAAAAAAATGAGTTGTCAAACAAGTATGAATAGCATCATATTTATGTTTAAAAAACATCTACAACACACACACAGGTACTCACACATATAACACTAAATTCATAGAGAAAGGTTTCATCAAACACCGGAGGGATAGTAGGATTGGGGTTGGGCAGGGATGGTGGTAATGGGGGGCCTTTCATTTTTTTCTCTATGTATCGGTATTAATTTTTTACAACAAAATATAAAGAGTTTTTAATAACATGGGTAAATGTTCATAGTATATTGTTACAGGAAAAACAGATATAAAGTATGTATATTTTGTATGCATTTAATGTTAAGTTTCTAAACTTAACCAAAAAAAAATCAAAAGAACATTTTCATCTCAAACAAAGTATTACTCAACTCCCAATTTAAGGAGTGGAAATTAATTTGCTCTGAATAAAACAGGAGCAGGGATCCAGTGCTCTGGTCAGTCAGCCACCTGCCTCAGTGAGGCCTTCCAAGGCTCCCAAAGCAACAATGGAGTTCCTAGTAGCACAGTGTGAAAAACTACCATGTCATAAAAGGGACTGAAGAAAAATCTCAGAAACAGATTTCTGAGATAGGGGATTATGCTTGATTTTTCTTTTGCTATTATATGATACACATACATACATCCCTTTTCTATGATTTGATACTGTTTAAGTAATAATTATCTTCTCCGGTAACACCTATATAACCACCTAAACCTGATATATTTTTAGAAGGATGGGGATTGCAATAGAGCTTTGTTAATCTTTTAAAAGTTATAATTCTATACTCATTGCCTATTTCTCAGGCCAACTATCATTTGTATTTTTCCAGAAAATTTTCTGTTTTCACAATTTTTAAATTTATTAAGTTTAAAATTTTATTCTTTTCATAAATTCAGTTTTTTAACTACTATTTTTCAATTTTACTTTAGCAATATTCCCTAATAAATTAAATTATAATTCCTTTTTCTAGTTTTGGTTATTTTTTATTACTATCCTTTTTTTTTTTTTTAGTTCCTTGAAAGTCAAGTTCATTGTTTTCTAAATTTCTTATTTATATAAAGGCATTCAAAGCTATAAACTTTCCCCTGAGTATGGTTTTAGCCACATCTCTAAGGTACTTGTTTAGTGTCCTCATTGTCATTAATTTCTAAATAACATTTTAATTTTTATCAACTTTGATCCAATTGCTATTTCAAATAGATGAATATTTTTAAACCTTTAATTAATTTATTATTATAGTTTTAGTTCACTACCATAAAAGTCAGTGACCTGTAAGAATTTAGTTCTCTACTTTGAAATTCTTGGTGTGATTTAGTACATGATCAATTATTATAAATGTCCCATTTAAAAATAATCCTTCAGTAGTCTCCTTCACAGCCAGAGTATGCCTCTGCTTCTGCTGTTCCTGCACTATTTTTCACTTCCCTTTGGATTTCTCCACTGTCTATGCTGAACTGACTGCAACTATCAGTAATCATCTCCTTCATGTTACGTAAATTCCCAAACTTTCTGGCTCATGGTGGCTTCCTCTGACATTAGGGAAATAGTTTTCTCCTTTCTTTCATAATTTTAATTGAATTTTCTGAGAACTCAAAGGTACAAATCATGGGCTCAAAGTGTAGCAAAGTATGTAAGAGCTCAGTCTCAAGAATCCAGAAAGGCCAATATTTGAATTCTGATTTTATTTGCTGTAGGATCTTGAATATGTTACTTAAATTTTCAGAGCTTCTGTTTCCTTATGTTAAATGAGAATAATTATGGTAGCCACCATGTAAGCTTGTTGAGAGAGGTAAGTGAGAAAATGGAGAAAAGCACCAAATATATCATTTGACAAGCAGTAGTTCTCAATAAACATTAGCTACTCTTGTTGAAATGAAAACTCTGGTCTGAATTTTTTTAGTTAATGTCAAACAAAAAGGATGTAACATTTTCTACCATAGCGTGATCATACAGATAATATACTATGTGGATATGCTTGATAATCCCAACATATCAAGACTGTTACCTAATCACAATACTACAGCCGAACTTCATTCACTACATTTCATCACCTGACATTTGTAATCTGTCTGTTCTACAGAAAACACTTAGAAAAATTTCTTTTCTGTGAATCTACAGTAGTTATGAAAAGATATACCACTTATTCCAGTACTTTTCTAATCAAATATTCAAGTATATACCCAAAAGATTTAAAAGCAGAGACTCAAACAGGTATTTGTACACCAGCATTCAAAGCAGTATTATCAATAATAGCCAAACGGTGAAAACAGTATCTACTGATCTAAGTATCTATTGATGGATGAACAGATAGGCAAAATATGGTCTATACATATGATGGAATATCATTCGACCTCAAAAAGGCAGGCTATTCTGACACATGGTTCAACGCAGATGAACTTTGAAGGCATTAGGCTAAGTGACATAACTCAGACACAAAGGACAAATATTGTATTATTTCATTATGTGAAGTACTATATTGAGAGTAGTCAAATTCATAGAGACAGAAAGCAGACTGATGGTTGCCAGGCGTTGGGGAGACAGGAGGATGGGGAATTGTTTAATGAGTACAGAGCTTCAGTTTCATTAAGACACAAAGAGTTCTGGACACTGAATGTATGAAATATGAATATATTTGAAATTACCGAGTTGTACACTTAAAAATAATTAAGATGGTGAATTTTATGTTATGTATTTGTCGCAATTTTTAAAAAGTAATCAAGTGTCTAAGCGGTAGACATCTTTATCTGATTCTACATAGTACTATTTATAATCACAGTAAAACATTTTGAAAACATGTCATGCAGTAGACTAGATATGTCATTCAGCGTGTTCAGAAGGCGAACACCAACCTTCTGCTCTCTCACACTCTAGTTCACTGCTCCTAAGTCCTTTGGAGGTAGGGACGGGGCTTTCAAACTTTACCCATAAATACTTTATTTTATTCTCTGAAAGGTATATATACAAGAATAAGAAGTAGAAGTGTAATCCTGCTTGAGCAAATCTACCCTAATAAACCTCTATTTGGAAAATTCTTTATATAGAAACATTTCACTTATAATAGCAGAAATGAAAATCATCTAAATGTTCTACAGTGAGAGAATGGCTAAATAAACTACACAGCAAATGGAATATTACATAAGTGACCAAACTAACATATGAATGAAAATGGAAAAGATGTTTTTATAAGAGGTGATTTAACTATGTAAAAATACATTCTAAAAAGAGGGAATCAAATATCATGTTAATACATAATTACTCTTGAGAAAGAGGAATAACAATCCCTCCTTGTCTTTATACTTTCTACACTTTGCAAATATTCTGTTTTTGTTTTTATAATGCATTTCAGTTCTTATATTTTTGTTTTTACAATGTGTTCGTTTTAAAAATCATAATTTTTATAATTATACCTTAAATCACATCCTTAATTTATTAAAATAAATAAGCAGAAAACAGAGAGTAAAAATTTAATTTTTTCTTCCCAAGTACTCACATTCTCAGGTATGCTGGGAAGTTCTCTGGTATCAGGCACAGTAAAATAAGAATGCTAGAAGAGAAAAGCAAAAGTGATTTATTTCTGCCAAAATGTACAACAACCACATTACTCAGAATTCAGGTAAATGATTGGAAGATATTTCCTTACTCAGATAAGGAAATGGCTTCACTCATAAGAAACAACCATGTAATATTTTCTTTGGGTATTTTCATATTGAACCAGATGTATTAAATCATCACTTTGGTAGATGGAGTTCTTTTCTATGAGAGAACTTCCTTGGGAGATAGAAATGAAGAGCTCAGGCCAGGAGTAGTGGCTCACACCTGTTATCTCAGCACTTTGGGAGGCCAAGGCAGGCGGATCACATGAGGTCAGGAGTTAAAGACCAGCCTGGCTAACATGGTGAAACCTCACCTACACTAAAAATACAAATTAGCGAGGCATGGTGACAGGCACCTGTAATCCAGCTCCTCGAGAAGCTGAGTCAGGAGAATCACTTGAACCTGGGAGGCGGAGATTGCAGTGAACTGAGATCAAGCCGCTGCACTCCAGCCTGGGCAACAAGAATGAAACTCCGCGATAAATAGATAGATAGATAGATAGATAGATAGATCATTCAAAGAGGTTAAAAGGCTAAATTGCTATATGAATTTTCCAGGTTTCTAAACACATGAAAGCTGTTGGTTTCATAATTGATTGTTCAATGATGCAAGCATATTCTAGGGACAAAATATCACCAGATTCACTCAGTGATGATTTTTACCAAACAACCATCTCGTTTCAGCATCTGAGATTATATTCATCTACAAAACGTGGCCAAAATCTGCCCCAAAGGCCTAAGTGATGTTAAGACGCGTTCCAGTTGCTGGAGCACTGAAGCTGAGACCATTGCAGATGACCAAAAGTGGAGAAATTCTGCCCCCGAAGCCCACTCCATCATAAACCTCCTGACTGGAGACTGAGTGGAGTTGAAAAATCTACCTCTTCAAAGAACTTCCAATGAGTCATCTCCATATGCAACAAGCATGCATCCCTGAGTTAAATAACAACAGGCTGAACTGATGACACCTCCTTTGCTCCTATTTAAGACTCAGGACAATGGCAAGCAGGAATGGAAAGAGCCTGGTGCCGGCCAATTAAAGATGGGATTGTGCAAAGGCCAGGAAAGGTCACATGCAGAGAAGGTCAGCTTAGCCATGGCCTAAGTTCAAACCTGGACCCCCAAGTGACATTTCAGGAAGTTGTCCACCGCAACCTCCATTCTTGGGTGACTGCAAAATAAGTGGGTCTCTAGAAGAATGACTTGTATAGGCTTTCTGAAATGAGAGGCCCTGGGGACAATTGTAATGAAGATGACAACAATAATAGTATAAGGTACTTGTCTAATATTTAACAGATATTTGTTGAATAGAATACCTGGTACATGAAAGGCATTATGTCTCATACTCTAAATGTTAGCTCTATTACCATAATACCTTTTGAGACAGATATTATCTCCAAATTACAAATGGGTAAATTAATGCTCACAGAGGTCAAGTAGTCAAAGATCACACAGCTAGTAGGTAGCAGAAAAAGGACCAAAACCGAATCTGTGTAACTAGAGCCATGCTCTTTCCACTGTAACAGACTGTTATATCTGTCCTTTTTAAGTGCAAATGACAGCTAAAGGGACTTGAGTGGAAATAATAAAAAAGTAAAAAATAAAAACTATAAAAAAGATAACTTAAAAAAAAAGCCTTCTTTGATGGATTATTCCAAAATCTGTGTGTATGTCAAAATACTACCTATGAAGTATTACAGAAGAGATGGTGTAGCATGGAAATTAGTAAATGACTAATTCAACAATGAAGATTAAAACAGGAAAAGTAAAATACAAGGTTCAAATATGACTCAATGAGACACCAACTTCTATACCAAAGGGCTAGAAGTTTGGTTCAGTAACAGGCCATGTGGTGACAGAGTCACCAAGTAATAGTTTGGCATAGTGAGAAGGAAAGAGCTCAGACCAAAGAACCAGCCACTTAATAGCTATGTACCTTAGCAAATTCACTTAATAGCACAGAACCTCAGTTTTTGAATCTGTAAATGGGAATCATATTATCTACTTCAAAACTGTTGAAGAATAAATGTGATATATATGAAGTGTCTACTGTTCAATAAATGGTATTTTAATATAAAATTATTATTGCTCTGAACCGCTAGTTCATATTACTATTTTTATCAATTACTCATATCAGATACATAGAAATATTCTCCTGCAGAGAGCGACTAGAGACAAAAAGTTCAGGATTACCATTTTATCAGCATTTCAGGATGTATTACCTAGATAAGAGTAGTCCTTCAAAATCAGAAATGCAATATGGAGAGAGGAATCCCCAGTGAAAAGGAAAGAAAAAAATATCTGCCTTTACAGATGCAATGGATAGTAAATAGTGAGCCAACACAATTCTACAACCAAGTAGTCCCCAGGCTGTCCTTTGAGATTCTGTCTTGCTCCACTGCCCATGAAATGCTGGGGACCAGGAGAGGTCAGAAACATTCCTAGAAACCACTGGCATGAAACAGCTGCGCCACCCCAGCAGTTCCTGCTGCCCCTGAGATGGCTTGTCCTTGAGGCCTGGCATGCACTATGCCTGAGCAGCCATTCGAGGGAAGGAGTGGACCTTCCTCCCCAGCAGCTGGTGACCCAGCTGGGCTACTCCACAGCTACCTGTCGGATGTTATTACAGACTGAAGTGGTGAGATCAAGCTGCAGAGACAAAGGCAGGGTTGCTTAGCTATACAGCAAGGACTAGGGCAGCTTTAGAGCTCATTTGTTCATCTTTTCCAGACGGTCTCCCCTGCCGTATAAGAATTTTTGTAGCAAGGTTTCTTTCCTTCCTATGTTCTACTAAAATGAGCAAAAATCTTTGTAAATTCATTTTTTTTTTTTTGGTTCCTTCCTTCCTTCTCTTCTTCTCCTTCAACACGTATGGCACAGTGGAAAGAACACAGGCTTGAAGTTAGCCCTGGCTTTGAAAACTCAAGTCTTCTCTCTTATTAATCACATGACTTTGGAAGGGCAAGTATCTTTTCCTCTTGTAACCAAAACCTATAAGGAATTAATTTTCTTTAGGAGGGGAGATACCTTTCCACCACTGAATACCAACACTGTACCTGGTTCTAATGAAGATGAAAGACAAAACTCTTAAAACTTTCAGGCCCCATGACTTAAGGGAAATAACCCCTGGATAATAATCAATACCTGGTCAAAGTACGTCTGTCTGAGAGTTCTGATGAAGGTAGTGACAGGGGCTTCAAGGTTTGACCTGGGGAATTAGAGAATTCCTGGAACCAAAATATGAAAAAGATCTCCTATACCTCTTCTGATGCCTTATCTGAGCGATGAGGAAACTGAAGCCAACAAGGTTAAAGGTCTTGATTAAGGTCACTCAAGTCATTGACAAGACAATGACCAGGATGGAAATCTTCCAATTGGTAGTTCAGAGCATGCTGCAGAAAATGCGGTAGCAGTACATACTTACAGGCATTCAAAGAAACTATTACTGAAGGCCAGGAACAACACTAAACACTCTCCCTCTCTGTCCTCAAGGGACACACAGTCCAGTGAGGGGGACAGGGAAAGGGATCATTCCAATAGGGTGTAACTAAGTACCGCAAAGCATGTAAGATGCTTGGGGCAAAGGAGGTGATCTTAGCTAAACCTCCGAGGTATCAAGGGAGGATTTCTCTGGAAATAAAATCAGAGTTGAGTTCTGAAGGATGAATATCTGTTACCCTGGCACACAGGGGACAGGAAATGTTGAAAGCTGAGGGTGCAGGATGGGACCTTCAGCAAAGGGACATGCACCGCAGTGCTGGGGAACGAGGGTGATGCAGGGAGGCCGGGACAGGAACTCAGAAAGCAGGCGGGGCCAGCTGTCCTATTTCACCCCAGCATCTGTGATCAGGAGATGCTAGTGATGCCAGGGATGATGGCCACAGAGGAGCCTGAAGACATTTAAGACCTGTCTACTTCTTATAGAATCTCAGAGAAAGGAGGAAATTCAACTCCCTAGCCTACCTTGAGCCCAGAGGTGTCAGAGTATTTGGGGATGGGAGAGGGGAGGTACAGATGACAAAATACAATACTCTTCAGCTAGCTCCTCTTACTGTCAATAATGAAATAAGTTCTCAGTAATGGTTAATACTCTGCCCCACTTACCACGCTGAGATGAACAGACACTCCTGGGTCAGGGATGGGAAGTTTGTGCAGAGTTTCAAGGAGCTCATTCCACTGATTTTCCTGAAAGAAATAAAAGGCCTAAGTAACAAAAGCAAGGCTGAGCCCTTAGTAAGATACCTGCAGGGAGGTCTGGGCACACACAACTAAGGGGGTTGGGGAGATGCTGGCCTCAGCACAGAAATAAGTTTGATATTCATGTAGGGTTTGACAAAAGACACTGCATATGCCTCAAACATAAGAGCCAAATAGATCCTCCTACACCAAGTTTGACATTTTCTACTCAATGAGACACCTACCATGACCGCCTTTTATGGATCATATACCATAAGCTCTCAGCAAATCTATCCCCTCAACTCCATAGCAACAACTTTTAAATGCAAACAATCCTAGCTTACAGGGTGGGGGTGGCTGGGAGAAATAACGATGACAGTGTAGATCTTGTCTTCATCATCATTACCCTCAATTAATTTCATTGAATGTTCACTGGGTACACATGGCAGCCTCCAATTATGGAAAGAAAGAAATGAACTAAGTACAACAGCATGCAATATAGGACGGTAGCTATGCATTTTAACTCATGAAATTGAGCAACATAATGACATACAAAGCAATACAAATTATTTGATTGAAAATGAATTCACCTCTAAAATGCTCAAAAGAACAAGAGCACTGCTCACAGAATTATCCAAATGCCATTTCTCCCACCCTGTGGAATTCTCTGTACTAATATAATACTGCTAATTGTATATCTGTATCCACTCATCCTCTGTTTGACCCTCCCAAATACCCACTTCACAGATGTGAAAACTGAGGCTCCAAAAGGTGAAGCAACTTGTCTCAAATTAGCCTGTTAGAAAGTTGCACAGCTAAGGGGTGAAATGCAGGCTTCAGAGCCCTCCTTGCTTCACTATAGCTGTCTATTTAAGTAGTGAATTTAAGGAAAGGAAAAAGAAGATGCACCCAGACTACAAGCTTGTTTCAATCTGAGCTCTGACAAATCAAACAAGCTTCTCAGAGAGATGAACTTGAGGGTATGTGTTTGCATGTGTTCAGTTTTGCTCTGAAACAATCTCAAACTTACTGAACAGTTATTTCCTGAACTATTTGAGAATGAGTTGTCAAGATTATGTCCCATCATCCATAGATACAAACTTTCTCCTAAATTATCACAATTAATCATTCTTGTGGTTTGAATGTTTCCCCCAAAAGTTCATGTGTTGACGATTTGTCATTGTAACAGTATTAAGAGGCAGAACCTTTAAGACGATTATGCCATGGATTAATGTGGGCTTCTGATAAAAGTTTGACCCCCAACTTGTGTCTCTTGTCTCGAGTGCTGCATGTTATGACCCAGCAAGAAGGTCCTCACCAGATGCCAGCACCAGGCTCTTGGACTTCCCAGCCTCCAGAACTGTGAGCCAACTAGATCTGTTTTCTTTATAAATTACCTATTCTGTGGTATTCTGTTACAGCAGCAGAAAACAAACTAAGAGAATCATAATAATAAGGAAATTAACATTGATGCAGAATTATCATCTCATCCTCAGATCCTGTCATGTTTTGCCAACTGTGCCAATAATATCCTTGACAGCAAACAATCCAGTTCAGGATCACCTGTTGCAGTGTTAGTAGTGATAACTCTCTACTCATCCTGAATCTGGAACAGCTCCTCAGTCTTTCCTAGATTTGTATGACCTTGACAATGAGACCACCCATTTTGTAGAAAAACTTTCAATTGCCTAATGTTTTGTCTAATGTCTGATTTCAATTTGTCCCTTCACTGATGATGTTTGCTTTCATCATTTAACTCATTTGATATCTCTACAGTAACACTACTCTTTCTCTTTGTAATAAATAACCATTTCATGGATTGACACTTTAAGTAAATATCCCATTCGTCAAACTTTCAATGTATCCATCTACTTATTTATATTACCATGGGTCCATAGTTTCCTGTTTTATTCAGTGTGCTATAATCCTTTACTATCCTAATTTGTTCTGATGCTCAAATTGTTCCAGATATGACTAGTGGGAGCCCTCTTACTGCTTCTGTGTCCTTCTGACATGTTCCCATCACGTTTTTAGCAATTCCTTACTTTTTGGCACAAAAGATATTTCAGATTTATCTTATACTTTCTCTGCCTCAGCCCCAGAATCAGGTGATTTCTTCAGTGAATCCTGGTTTCTATTAGTAGGGAATGGTTTTTAGAAACCAACATCTGGGCACCATGTGTACTCACTGCTCCCTACTGTTGCACATTCCAGGTCCTTTCAGTCAATGGAGCCAGGGAATGCATCACACACACATGGAACCACAAGAGGCACATCACATCTCTTATTTATTTCTATATCCATCTTCCCATATTCAAAGACATGGGTTCACACTGATGGCTCCTATTCCAATCCAACATAGGAATTATTCTAGTTTTCTCCCTTTATGTATCTGTGACTTCATTCTATGAAAGTGAAAAACCTTGCCTGTATTTTCTTTATATAATTGCTTATTTGTATGGAAACACTCTTCTATTGCCATCCTTGCCTCCTTCACCATCCAGATGCCCTCTGTGCCCTCCTTGACACTGACATCCAGGGCTGGGCCTCTACCATCCACCCCCTCACACAAATGCCTTCCTTACCTCAGGATCCAACACACCAGCACTGGGTCACTGCTGCTGCCTCCCTTCTCACATGGATTCTTCTATATCCTATTTGAGTTCTGACATCCCATGCTGAGCCTCTACCACCAGGCTCCCACATAAACATCCTTCTCTCCCTTAGGCTCCAACACCCTGAGCCAGGCTGCTCCCTGGCTCAGATGCCCTCCTTGCCCTGCCATCCCTTCCACAAGGGTGCCCATTCAAGGTCTGATAAGCATGATGGGTCCATGATCCAAGCAGATACTGCAGTTAACCACACCTTGGTCTCCCACACCACAGAGACAGAGATACACACACACACACACGCACGCACGCACACACACACACACACACACACACACACACACGCTCGAAGCCTATCTTGCTTCCCAACCTCCCAGTGACTTTTGTATGGGAGAAGGTTTTGGCCCTGGGGCAGATGGTAGGTTCTGTTTCTTTAAATAAAAACTCTTTCTGTTCTAATCTAGTGACTAACACCTTGCAAACAAAATTGTAGGCAGATTTCCTATCATATGTGTCATAATTCTTTTAACAAAAGTGGGAAAAAGAAAGAGTCCTGGGTTCAAGAGACATAGACTCCAACTAAAACATGTTACTGATCTCAGTCTCTGACATCCCAAGAGGCAGAGTCCTGCTGGAGCAATGGCCCAGGAGAAAGGTTCACCAATTTTACAGGGTAATGATCCAGTCTCCCATATGCGCAGATTGTATCTACACTTTTATAAACTTTCCTGAATCACTTGTTTTAAAAAGTGTACTAAATTCTTTGTTTTGCTGACTTTCTCTTTTTTTTTTGGACTGGAGCATATGGAGGGAAAAAAATGTGAGTAAATCTCCAATTCAAACCTGTGAAGAGCCTACATATTATACAATTCTATTTATTAAAGACACCTTTCAAATTTGAGTGAAAACCTGAATGTTTGACTAAAGGTAACTGTGAATCAGAAATCGATGAACAGACCCAAGGTGACCTCCTAACTCATTCATCAAAGAGTAAATCACTTCTTTTATGACAGAATCCCCTGACATCTAAGCTTCTTTTCACAGTGAGTGTAGTGATCAAGGGAACTGTTTCTATTAGTTATTCCTTCCATTTACTGTGACCTCTGGAATACATTTGCCAGTAAGTAAATCTGCCTCTAAAAAAAAAAAAATGATTTAGTCATTATAAACACAATTTCCCACCTTTCTTCCGAAACAGCATTTCCAAAAGTGTGTTCCAGGAAACACTGCTATCTCAGAATGCTGATATTTATCATGGAATGAAAGGAGTTTGGGGCAAAAGGAGATGGAAGCACAGGTGACACAGGTTTCTCCAATGCAGGACTTCCTAGAGCTTACATTAAATGAATCTTAAGGAGATGAAAACAGAAAACCGCTTTCCCTCCCCTGGACCCCACTGTGAATGAACTGGTACCCTTTTCATGGACCATTTCTAAGAACTAACACTCAAATTCCTCAGAACACTCAACAAAAAAATATTAAGGAAAAATTTCCCTTAACGTTTAATAATAATGGATCACTTTTAAAATATTAGGCCATTTACAAAAAGGAAAATATAAGACATTAGATATATAGACAAATATTCAACTCATTAATAATCAAAGAAATGCAATTAAAACAATGAGACTTTTTTACTTGTCAAATAAACAATGAATTCAACAAATGATACTGATGAGAGTATTGTGGCCGAGGCACTTTCTCACATTGCTGGTAAAGGGTATCCTTTAAGAAAACAGCAGAATTCTTCTGGAAAGCAGTTTGGCAAATGTTTTAAAAATGTATATGTCCACTGACCTTACAATGGCCCATCTGGGATTCTCCTTTTAAGGAAACAATCCAAAATGAAGAAAATGCTTTCCCCTCAAAGATGCGAATGGTTATACTTCTTATAACAGTAGAAAAATCCCAAACAATTAACAATTCCCAGTAATAAAAAAATGCTTCAGTAAATCAAGGTACATGATAAAATATTACACAGCCATGAAAAATATTTATAACATTTTTAATAGTATGGGAGGCACACTCATTATAATGATATCTAAAAATGAGGGCTACAAAAATCTACATAAAGCTCCAACTGGCCTTGACATCCATGGAAGATGCCTTACCTTACTGCGTCTTCCAAAAGTACAGCAAAGTACAGATGTATTTTTAACATAATTTTCAGACCCTTACAAAAGTTACTGTAAAAGCACCACAAAGCTTTATTGAAATGGGAACTCAGGACAGCTGGGTAGGTCACTTGCCAGTTAAGTGTGTTACTTGCAAACCCCAGATTTGCAGCATGACACGAGCAACTGAAATTTGTGCCTCAGCAAAATTATAATTTTATACATGTCATGAGCTTCCAAGGCTGCTTGGGAATATTAGAAATTGTGAACATTAACTCTGTGAATGTTAAAGATCTAGTTATCATTTCTTTAATGCAAAGAAAAACTTAAGGAAGAAAACAACCCAAAATGCTAGCAATATTTATTTTAGGGAAGGGAACAGGGGCAAATTATGAGTGATGATTTTTTCCTTCCTATTATTTTCTGAATTTCCCACACTTACTATACTAGGACTGCATTACTTTTTTGGTAAAATATAAGGCATGTTTTACTTTTTCATCATAAAAATTAAAGCTTATTTGTTCAAAAGAATTATTTTAAAAAGGCAAATACCTGTCTTTTTGTCGTGTAATCTGCCAGGATGTTAAGTAGCTTATAAAATACCTCGAACCAGGGGAGATAGCTGGAGGAAGAAGAGGAAACACATGAAATATTAGTATGCAGGTCAAAAACTTTAACCAGGATCTAATTCAAGACTGATACATTTCAGTTTTGCTCTACGTCCTAAAGAGTCTTCCTGTCACAGACCGCTGGAAACACAGACTGGTGAAATGCTAATTATTTCTGAGAGTTTAAAAAACTGCCTGTGTAAGGCAGAGGATTGAATGTCCATTATAAATTATTCCCATGCCTCTGAGCTAGAACAGTTCACAGAGAAGAAATTCAAAGCAGACTCCATAATCAGGCACCATCTCTGAGTAGCCCCCTGGCCTCTCCCAGCATACCCACCCTTCCCAGGAAAGCTTCTATTCAAGTTCTTGTGATGGGACAGGGACAGGAACAGACACAGACACACACACACACAGCATTCCCACTGCAGGCATCTGCAAAGGGTTGTCCCAAAAGCCCCATGAGCCCAAAGCCATCCATGTTACTCCAACAGACATTCTACCCACCACACACCATCTCTCTATCCACTTCAGCATGAGTTCCACTTCTCCATCCCCACTGTCTTCCACCAGGTCTTGACCATTGCTCCCTTCACTCTGAGAGCAGCCTGGCTGCTGACCTCAGTCCTGCAATCCACTCTGTGTGGCTTTTTTTTTTTCCTTGAGATGGAGTCTCGCTCTGTCACCCAGGATGGAGTGCAGTGGCAAAATCTTAGCTCACCGCAACCTCCACCTCCCAGGTTCAAGTGATTCTCCTGTCTTAGTCTCCCGAGTAGCTGGGACTACAGGCGTGCACCACTATGCCTGACTAATTTTTGTAGAGTCTGAGTCTTGCTCTGTTGCCAGCCTGGAGTGCAGTGGTATGATCTCAGCTCACAGCAATCTCCATCTCCTGGGTTCAAGTAATTCTCCTACCTCAGCCTCCCAAGTAATTGGGACTACAGGCATGCGCCACCATAGCTGGATAATTTTTGTAGTCAGAGGCTTGCTCTGTCACCAGGCTGGAGTGCAGTGGTGCGATCTCAGCTCACTGCAACCTCTGCCTCCCGGGTTCAAGTGATTCTCCTGCCTCAGCCTCCTGAGTAGCTGGGACTACAGGTGTGCACAACCATGCCTGGCTAATTTTTGTATTTTAAGTAGAGACGGGGCTTCACCATGTTGGTTGGTTAGACTGGTCTCAAACTCCTGACCTCAAGTGATCTGCCCACCTCAGACTCTCAAAGTGCTGAGATTATAGGTGTGAGCCAGCTGGTCATTACTTTTAGAATGGTTTTTCTAAAATGCAAATCTCCATTGCACATTGTACTTAATCCCTGCAATGATGCTCCTGGAAGTCCACCTTGGTTAGGATGAAATCTCGGGGCTCTACACTGCCAGGACCCTTGCCCACTGCTGTGGCTGTCCTCTCTCTACTTCCCCAAACACATGCTCCCCTCACTCCTTTCATGCCGGGAACGTGCTGGCATCTTCGAGCCTGCCTGGGCTTACATACGCTGGGCCCTTTTATCCCCAACCTTTGTGGTCTAGTCTAGTTGATTTCTACTCATCCTCCTAACGGTCCCCCACCCCCTCCCCATCCTCACTTCATGTGCCCTAATTCTCTCTTTTCTGTGCTGCCCTGGTCATGAGAATGCTGCAGTTGTAACATTCCCCACACAACGCAGTCCTCAATGGCATGTCTGTTTTCTCAACAGACCACATGCCAACAGAGAGGAAAGAGCCTATCTTTCTTTACTTTGTCTTTCCAGTGCCAAGAACAGCACCTGGCACACCATCAGTGCTCAGCGTTTACTGGGCAGATAAAACCAGACAAAGACTGACGGCAAGGGCACATGCATCCTATGGGATTGTTGAAAAGTATCCATACCCCCAAGAAGTTTTGCCGCTTACTTTCAATGGCTTTGTTCTCTATAAAGAAATTTTCCAAAGTGACATCAAACAGCAAGCAAGAAAAATGTCGTACTAAGCACTGGCTGGCCTAGTCACATCCACCCCGCTGTGCTAACAGAGTCCATTACAGACAGAGATGGACACAAGGTAGCGCACAGATGTGATATCCTTCCAGGGAGAGGGGAATCAGCACCCTGTACAGATTACCGGCTGCGCCACCGAGGGTAATAAATGAAGTGAGAGGAAACAAAGAGAACAGATAAAGTGCACAGTCCTCTGTCATTAACGTCTGTCTAAAGCCAGCACATGCTACTGTAAAATTTAAGTAGCTTATCAAAATATACTGATAAGCAACTTAACTTTTCACTTCTATGACAGTATTATCACTTACGTTAATGTGTTTCAATCAGCCCTGGCAGCTGCATATTGACTATTACACAGCAAATGACTGCTGCCACTTTGCACAGCATTTACTTTGGCAGAGTAATGTAAACATTCAAGAGGGATTAGGGAGGAGATAAGTTTCTCCCTTCCTATTCTGTTAAATAAACCTCGGCCGAGTTAAAAGCCATTATAGTAGGAACAAGAAATCCCTTCAGAAGAAAACTCTTGCACAGATTAGATGACTCTTAGTAAACAAATTCGACCAAGGATTACAATATTTTTTTTTCCTGAAAGCAAAATACCACTAGTTAATGCTAGCCACTGAAAGTCAAGAGGAGGTTGGGGGGAAGGCAAAAAGGGGAAATACATTCTTACAAGAAAACTATGACTTCAAGTCAACAAGAGAAAAATGGAATTGTTTTAGAAATATTAGGTTAAGTGATATGGGGCAGGCTAGATGCTCTGACAGTTTAGGACTACAGTATCCATCAAAGCAGTTTTGGATGGCTAGGTTCAACTGACCAACATGGCTTGGACACAGAGGCTCCAGCCTCCACGTCACCTGCTGTGAGGATTGAGGGGACCTGGGAAGGAGCTCTTAGCCCACTACAGACAGCACCCTGATTCTCACACACAGCCTCAGTCTCACAAATCAATTCATTTGGCTATGCTAAGCAGAACCACTGGCCACAAGAAATTTTGCAGTTACCCTGGAAATCAGCCATTTCTTTCTCCCTTTGGCCTGACTGGACACAACTGTTCCCCACATGTTGTCCCCTGTGCACTGACAGATGAGTATCTAGTGATGGCAGTGTTAAGGTTTTGAAACCAAAACCCAGCTGTCTTCTTCTTCAAAGGGCCCCTGTTTTCCCCTGTTGGGAGGCCAGGGTTCACAGCAGAGCTCTATCCAGAGGCGTTTCCTGTCCTGCTTCATTAGAGCCGCCACAACAGCTTGTGCAGTCTGCCAGGCTGCAGGTGAGGCTGCAGGGACCCTGCACTCCAGTCTGCGTGTGTCTGTCATCCTTGAATAAACAATCCTTCCCAGACCAATGACAGGAAACAAACACTCTAGCCTGCTGCTCCGCCCTGGACTCTAAAAGGGTGCGAACATCTCTGGTCCGCCTCTGCTTGCTGCTTTTGTGTAATGGCTTGAGTCTCCACTGTGGAGTATCACAGTGGAGACTGCGGCGGGCTCCATCCAAGGCTGTGGCACAAAAGGTCCTGCGCTCAAGAAGGCTATGGTCTTCATTGGAAAGACACACACATAACAGAGTGGTTGGAAAACATAACAGTTTGGTTGGAAGGGGCTAGAAGTCTTTCCCAAGTGCTTTATTTAGTTTAGGCTTTTGGACTGTAGAAGGTGATCATGGAGCACCGTCATGACCCAATCAGAAGACAGAGAAAAGCGAAAAGGGAACAGCCTGCTCCCCAGACACCTGCCTAGATCCAGGCTTCTCTCCCTTCTCACTCACTCTGGCCCAGGTAACTCTGTCCCAGGCTCTGCCCTCACTCCCAGGCAAGAGAGTCAAATAGAGAGGCTTGTATTTCATGTGAGGTTATAAGAAGTTTTAAACTTGAGAAGTGTTCTCCACCTACTGCCTTCCTGACCTAGGACCCCACAGGTCCTTGTAAGGAGGGCAAAGGGAGATTCTAAAGACAGCACTTATGGTAGCAACAGCCCATAGTCAAAATCAACCTGAAAAAGCCCTTCAATTACCCTCAAAATATGGTGGACATGGTCTGTGTAAACAAAAAGTAGTTAGCCTGAGTTGTGGGGTCAGGTTGAATGAGAGCATCCTACGTCTAAATCTGTTAGCTGGTGAGCTGCTGGCTCTTGAACTGAACTAAGGGCATGGACTCCCTTTTTTAATCTCACTCCACTTGGGATAATAATCACTCCAACTGGTGAGTTTGTGTACACATGGATGACTGGCCTATGTAAGTTCAGCGTGAATATAAAGGGATTCCATTTTGCCATAAGTATTAAAACGGAAAACCATTAAAAATTTTAAGAGCTCTCTGACTTCTCTTTCTACTACTTCAGTTCAAAGTCATGAGATGGGACCAGGCAAAATCAGTGTGGGAGAGAGCAAGGGGCAGGGATGGTGGGAAAAGCTCACCAAGTGTAGGAAGGCAGCAGCCACCTGGGAGAACGGTGGTCCACAGCAGGACAACAGACTCAGGTGAGGAGAGGAGGCTGTCCTCCTGGAGGGACAACGTGGTACAAGGTGTTAGAGTCCAAGTGGGAGGAGAAGGGTGTCCCACTGAGGGGTGATCAGGCGTGGTGTGCTGGGGACCAAGCAGGGTGAGGGTCCTGGTAAGGGAAAGCCAGCATCTGAGCAAGATGAGAAGGGAGTCTCCATGGGGGAGGACTGCTTGAAGTTTCATGACTTAGTGGGGCAAGGAGGGGTTGAGCCTGACATGGGGTAATGACAGCATCCATGTGGAGTGGAGAGGCTGACCAGCAATGGTATTAGAACCCAGAAGACTACAAAGAACATCTAGAAGGCAGTTCAGTGTTGGATGTCAGAGCCTGAGGGGTGGAAGGGCTTCCACGAAGGGCATGGGGGCAGCAAGGCAGAGTCCATGTAGTTGAGAATGCTGTCCATGATAGGAACGGGCGGCAGCAGCTCTGCCTAAGGTGCCACAGTCCAAACAGGGTGAGGAGGGTGGCGCTGTGTGGGAAGGGGGCTGCAGCAGAGGGCCACTGGCTACAAATGGGGAACAGATCAAGACTGAC